GTTTTGGGGGGGGGGGGAAGCTTCAGGGTTTCTGTCATTCTTTTTTCCTCCCTTTTCTGTTTTTGCTATTAAGAGTCACTGTTGCCCTTTGTTCTTTGAGCAGCAGTAGTCTGGACAGTTTGGAGTAGCAGTTTCATGTGTTAAACTTTCCTGGTAAATGGCTTGTAACAACATATACCGATGGATCAATCCTAAAGGTGTTCAGCCTGAGGGTTTTTTTGTTTGTTTCTTATGGACACGGTAATGTTGTCCTGACCATGCCTTATGCTGTTGTGCAAGCAATTAAATTACCTGACTGCATTCCTGGAGTCTTGGTCTCTCTTTCTTCGTTCAGTGTTTTTTAATCTCTGGTTATAGCTGCCCTAGGTGTGGAGTAACCTCTCCGCTGGATACCTCTTGATCATGTTTGAACGCACCATATTGTAACGCTCAAGCCTTTGGCTAACTTCTCCTTGGGCATCTTTTACCAAGCACTGAGTCTTCTGAGCTGTATCCTACATGCAGGATATGGGTGCACAGTCATTATCTTTATTGCTAACACCCACAACACCAGCTGGGACAGACATGCTGTGAGGCATCATAAGCTCTCCCACCCAGCACAGCCACCCAGTGGGTCTCCTGGCCACATAGTTGTCATTCAGGTGGGGAAGTGCTGGTCTCTGCCGTTCTTCTCAATGGGCTGATCCTTAACATCGCTGAGCCACTGTCTTCCTCCTCTCTGCTTCTTCTTTGTCTTGTCATATCAGGACTTTGTTTTTCTGAATCATTGTTGAATTCATTTCTTTGTTCTAAACCACTGCTAACTGGTATCAGCTTAGCAATCTTGCTGTGTTCTGGCTTTTGTTTTTACTTTATCTTGCAGGCTCTCGTAGCCTACATGCTCTCACACTCGCAGGCGGTGATAACTACAGCTCATCGTATTTCCCTTAGTAAAACAGGCTTGTGGATCACAATATTTTCTCGTTCTTATCTTGCAAGTTCAGGATACGTGCTAGTTATGAAAGATGCACTAGAACACCTTCTGACAGTGAGAGTCTGCATCACCCACTCATTGACACCATGAAAAGAAGAGCTCTTTACAACTTTTGCTATTTAATCCCACCATGCAGTATAGAGACACTTTGAAGACATAGTGTCCCACCAAAATAAATGGTGCTGCTTTTGGAGAGAACCATCCAATACTGAATTTTTGGCCAAAGAAGCTTTGGTATTTTTAAAAGAAATCCTGTTAGGTAGTATGGAATAATAAATGTATCAAGTCAGTTGTACAGGGAGATCTGCTCAACACAGGCTGGTTAAAAGAAAGGTAAGAGGGAGGAACAATTCAGTAACCTAATGGAAATTTTGGTGCTTAGATGCTGCTAATTCTAATGAAGCCTGGATGTGCTGAGCTCTCAGGTGGTTTGGAGAATACTTCAGCCTTCAATATCAGACTGTGCTACAGAACAGGACCAAGAAAGGGTAGAAGTCATGTGTGCTATGGAGTTTATCATCAGATTACTCTGCACATGGGTGTGAGACGCACATGGGTGTGAGACACACACGTGCTTGGGTCATCCTGAGGGCTGTGGACTCCAGAGAAGGTGAGCCAGTCAAATGCATCCTCAGCTGTGGTGCATGCTAACAAAAGTATTTACTAACTTATCTCGCACTAGCTTTTGGCTTTCATGAGGTTCCTCCAAGAAACGTTACAGCCTGCTAACCCATGAAAAAGTGGGTAGTCTTCTGCCAAGTTAGAGACCTGAGGCAGCTTGTGGTATGATGCTAAGGGGACTGGAACCAATGAAAGAAGGGAGGAGATGAGATAGGGCAGGACTGTGAGAAGGGGAATGTGTTGGACAAGAGGAAGACCATCTCACCAAGGCAGTGCTAGTCCCATAGCTTGGCACAGCTACCCTTAAGACTGCAGCCTAGATAATTTACAAGTGGGATGACTGGGTGCTCAAGGCAGTTCTCGTGCTCGATCAAGTGTTTGCATCTACAAATGAGCATTCAGTTAGCTAATAAAGACGTGGCAATTGACTGTGGTAATTGGAGTGCTGTATCTATACAAAAAGCTGCCTTTAGTAGAGCACACTGTTTGCTCATCTAATCCTGTGTCCCATTTCAGCCATACCAGTTATTTGTTGCTTTGGAGAAAATACTCCTTGAGGGTTGAGGCAGGACAGCAGAAAGAAATAAAGCTGCCCTGTTGCTTAGCCATGTTCTTCCCAAGAACATGCAGACGATGTTGTTTTGTCCCAAGTCCCTTAACAGAGAGCCTGAGGAGAGATTTCACAATCATAAAAATGTAATTAGCCCCCAAGGCTTTGGGGAAATACAATTTCTTTTACCTTATCTTCTTATTGGGGGGAGGGGGGAGAAGGGGAGGTTGTTATATTTGAAAATAAAACATATGTCTCTGTCATTTTAAAAAGTCTTTTTAGATTAGATTGTAGAGAAGTCAGTCTCTTCTGCCTTACAGACAGCATTCATGCCATGAGCAGTGGTAGATCGCAAGCACAACAGGTTTTCCGCAGTGTGCAGTCTCTGCTAACAAAAATGAGTAGCTGTGATGCTAGTGGTTGAGAGCTGTGTTATGCTTTTAGGCTGCTTTTGTTTTAGATAACCACTGAAGCTGTTCAAGATTTGGGGACTGCTCAGACAACAGTGGCTTGGTGTCTGTCTCCACTGTCTCCTGCGAGAACTTTCAGTGGAAGGGCTCCATTAACCGGGGTGGCGAGGGCCACTGCATCCAGAGAGTGAGTCAGGCATGCGGATGTACTGGCTCATCTTTTGTAAAGACTTCATAGCTTTTACCAAGAACCCTGGGGTGATAGGAAGAAGTGCGCTTTACCCTCCAGCTGACTGGGAAGTTTGTTGTAGGTATAAAGAGCTGCTTCTATCCTGGGAAATGTAGGGAGAGGCCCATCCTTGCAAGTAATCCCAAAGTCATACACACTTTGTGTTAGTCCCCCCATCTCAGCTGCTGACCTCAACCCAAATCTGTTGGTGCTGCTGTGATGTCGATCTGGTGATGGTGACTGGGAATAGTAAGAACACTTGCTACAGTTGTGTCTCCTGCAGGATACTTGGAATAATCTCTCTGAGCCTTCTTTTTTTCTCCTTTACCCTCACTTAGATGCAAGATACCCTTCCAAGCGGACAAAGATATTTGAAAGGGGAACAGAAAAGCAGTCCTGTTTTGTTCCTTGTTTCAGCCTACTCTCTTTTTGTTAAATTTAGTGAATATTTGCACACTTTTGGTATATATTTTTTTTAAATTTTTCCAAACTGACAAGTTTTGGGGTCACATAAGTCAAGTCTTGGCCCCATTGAAATCAATACCAAGATTCCCACCTTCCACAGAAGATCAGTTCTAGACACTGGCACCCTCTTTGTGAGCCTTCCACCTGGGAAGACCGATTTCTGCTTTCCTGTCCTCAGAAGGAGCTTAGCATAAGAACACACTTGGAAAATGTGCCAGATACTCAGCTGGTTGGTCACCCTGTCAATAGAGCAGGCTGAAGAGTGAAGTCTGAAGAGAATGTGACCCATAAATAACAGGCACAATATGAAGAAAGACATACTATAAATAAGTACTATAAATAGTAACTGTGGGTGTTGTGCATTTTTCAGGGCTGTAATGTACTTGCAGGTTTTAGATGTTTTGTAACCTGTACCAGCAAGTCCCTCAGTGATGGCATAGACTCCTTACATACTTCATACGTAACAGTTATATGACATGTTTTCCTGCTCCCCTAAATCAAGTGCTTGTCAGTAACAGCTTGAATTGGTTGCATTTTGCCTTCCTCATGGTTGTAGCAGTGTTTACAAGAGGTGCGTGTGTTACCAAACTCTGCCAGAGAAGCTTTTGGGAAAACTCTCTTAGGGCAGCCAAGACTAGCGCAACCACTGTTTGAATAATTGTTTGTGTGTTTTGGTTTGGGTTTGTTTTGATTTTCTAGATTGGCTGCCAACACAAAGAACCAAGGGAAATAATTCCGAGTAAAATTTCAATTTTTTTTTTTCTTTCCTTGACAAATTAAAAAATAGAAATATTTCATTTCACCAAACCCCTGAAGTGTTTCATTTCAGTCACTAAGAAAAGCAAGGGAAATGAAGGGTTAGACTTCAAAGAAAGTGCCTGGGGGCAGTTCCCGTTTAGTGGCTCAGGGAGTGGAGCCCTCATTCAGGATGGAGGAGACCCTGCTCCAACTCTTTCCTCTGCTGGAGAGGATTTGAACACACTTGTCTTGCTTCCCAGGAAGGTTTGCTAGGAACAGGCTATTCTGGGGTGAGGGTAGGATTAGGTGAAAAATGAGTTGGAAGAGACACACGCTAGATGTAAAAACAAAAGTAAGCAATGCTGAAAAAAACCTATTTTTTGCTTTCAAGCTGCAATTTGGAAAATGAAACTGGAAGCTTGTTGGTAATGTTCGTGAACACTGTTTAAAGAAAAGGTATTATAGCAATTTTGGATGATTTTGTCACAATGGAAATTCATGTCTCTTTGTATTTTAAACGTCCAGTTTTATTAGCACATATTTTAAGATGTAATACCTTTACATGCACAGCATAAATTGTTGAGAGCTATGCAAATGGCCTGTTTGTTAGGACACACGTAAATGCTTAAGAAGTACCACTAAATTGATGTATTCTTACTTGCTGTAGCCCTTGCCTCCGCCTCCAAATTAACCTCTTTTCAGAAAATTAATAAATCCAGAGCAGGGCTGTTAAAGAAAAGAAACGTTTTACACTTTTCAGAGATAACTTCTTGGCCTGAGGCCTGGGACTGGAATGCCTCCTTGCAGCACTGTCTCAGCGGATTTTGGTGACTGGCACCTTTTGGGATTGTGTCAGGATACTGAGTTGGCTGGGCAGCCTATGCTTTGAGCCTCCCGCTGAAGTCTGCAATCTTCACGTTAGGTTCCCCTGTGTAGTGTTTGATGGGATGTGGTCAGTACTATACATGTATAATGCCAGTCTAATTTGCTATCATCTTTATTTTCTGACTGCAGATCATTAGATGGCCGGCTGCAAGTATCTCACCGGAAAGGTCTTCCCCATGTGATCTACTGCCGGCTGTGGCGGTGGCCAGACCTTCATAGCCACCATGAGTTGCGTGCCATGGAGATGTGCGAGTATGCCTTTAACATGAAGAAGGATGAAGTCTGTGTGAATCCTTATCATTACCAAAGAGTGGAAACGCCAGGTACTGCTGACCCTCTGTGTGGATACCTCAGCTTCTCAGTACCAGCATAAGGGATTTATAAGTGCATTTCAAAATTGAATAAAGCAGCTGGCATAGGGTTTTAAAACCAAAGTATATCTATTATTGATGATAATCTCTTACTGTACACAGTAGAATAATTTATGAATCTGCACTCAGGGGGGAAATATCATTTTAAGTCAATAAAATCCAAGTCGAGCAGGTTGCGTTGTTGCCAGGTTCCTAATGTGGCATTGTGTGCACGTAAACAACTCACACACATAGTAGATACAAGTATGAACTACGGCAGTGTTGTATGCGTCCCTGATTGTTGGTATTAAATTAAGGATAAACTTACTTTTAAGTTGAAGTAGATCTAAGAATAGCTCCCAACACAACTGAACTTCCTGTTCTGAAGTCTCCTCCTGCCTCCGAAAGAGACTTTCATCTGGAACTGCAGATAGTTCTGCTGCGTGTCAGTACAAATCTGCAGAACCAGTCTGGATGTTTATGCTACTCCTACCTTGCTGTTCCATTTTATGTGAAATTTATTCCTTTTGAATCATGTGGTATAACTTCTCTCAAATGGTTTTTCAAGAAGACCTGTTTCTTTGCCCTTTTGTTGAAGGGGCAACAGACTATGTGTGTTCAGATAAGCACGTATCCCGTCCCTAGCTGAGATATGTTAAGAATAGCATCTTTAACTGCTGCTGTTATTTCAGAAGCAAGTATCAAATTGTGTCCCTTAATTAGCGACTTTGGTGTTGCATGTATTTAAGGGTGTTACTCCAAACTGGTTCCTCTTCATTTTCTAGGGTTTCAGTCATTTTATTTTAAAGCTATTAACATTGCTGTTCGGGTTTTTTGTTTTTTTTTTCCATTTGTGCAGTGTTACCTCCAGTGCTGGTGCCTCGGCACACAGAGATCCCAGCTGAGTTCCCGCCGTTAGACGATTATAGTCATTCTATTCCAGAGAACACTAACTTCCCAGCAGGTATCGAGCCACAGAGCAACTACATTCCAGGTACTGTATGTCTTCCATACAGTGAGCAGAGGGAAAAGGGTCATATTGCACAGTGAATCGTGTCTATGTATGCCAAGCTGGATGACTGGAAAGTCTTTCTTTCCATCATTACTATGAAGCTAAGGAGTGGGAACCTATACAAAAATAGATGAAAGCTGTAAATGTAGACACACAACAGTGCTGTTTATAGTTTTGTTTTCTTTTCTTTAAACTCACCTCTTCCCTTCAGTAGTATGTACTCAGTTTGTTGTGAAATCTGAAGCTGAATGTTCCCTTAGCAAGTTTAGATTTGAATGAAATTCAGCCATTTTAATTTGAGTAAAACTCTCTAAATTTCTGATGGAATTGAGCTCTTCTATTTATGTATCTCTTTTACAAGCAATTTACACCTTATTTGCATGGACAAGCTATGCAGCTGTATACCAGGAGAGGAAAAATATGTGGACAGAAAACTGTCTACATGGCTTAAAGTTTTATGGGACTGAAAATCCGGATTTTTTTGTTTCCCCCTCCTCTGTTATTCACAAATATGCTATGACTATCACCCTGGTTGTGCCAGCTCCTCCTTTCAGCAGCTTGAGGAAGAAAAGTAATAAAAAAGAAATTTAGCTCCTTGTGAATAACAAAGTAAATGTTTTTGGTGTCTGAAATCCAGACTTTGCATCCCGTTGCAATGACAGTATGATCATTTTATGCTTCTAGAGACACCTCCTCCAGGCTATTTGAGTGAGGATGGAGAAACTAGTGACCACCAGATGAACCCCAGCATGGATGCAGGTAAGTCATCTTTTGCCATTTGCTACAGCTTTCTATGTCATATCAGAGACTCTTTTAAAGTTTTCCTTTGGGGCACTGAAGATCAGATGGTGGTTTGAGGTATTTTATCCCTGTAGGAGTGCAAATGTAGCCTGACATCTCATGTAAAGCACAGGGCTGTATGTTTTAGAGCTGCTGGTGAAAGGTACAGCATGTTCCTGTTCTCCCCAACGTCCATCATTAGACAGTACTAAGCAGGAACCTGAAACAGTGGAGACACATCTAAGGGTGATAGTTTGTGTTGTATTTGCGTCCATGCAACTGTATGCAAGTGAAAATTTTGAACGTAGCTGGCACTTTTCTGCAGAGGCATTTTTCTGATCGTTTGGTTGTTTACATACTGAAATGTCCAGTTTAACTATATTTGAAATGACCGCTAGGAGATTTGTGTTTAAATGGGTTTATCGTTTAGTGGATATATCCCAAAGAAAGTTGAAAGTCTAGGTTCTCTTTCTCATTGCCAAGAAGACAAGTAACCACGTGTAGAATGAGCAGCCTTAGTGTTCATGCTAACCTGTATCAACACTTTAAAATTAAACATGCAGGTCTCATCTTTCCAGGAGTAACTGTTTAAGACATCTTGTTGATCGGAGTGGTGTCACTGCTTGTGAGTAAGAACCACTGAATCAGACTCCGAATTCATAAAGCTTTTGCTTGAAAAGCAAAAACACATCCTTGGTTAGAAGGGCTGATGCTTTGCAAGAGGGATATGCAAATACATGGCACTTACATAAAGATAGACATGCAGAACCTAATTAATGCAAATACTGCACACAAATATCTTGGTTTCTGTGCATGTCTTCAGCCGTAGACAATACGTGGGATTCTAAAAGAGGGATGACTGATTTGCAGTCTTTCACCGCAGTTATACAGATGGAGGAAGGCAGTGTGGGTTTGTTTGTCTACATCAAACATAAGCCTATTGACACAAACCATTTTAGTGCACACAGTTATTGGTGATGTGGTTGATGTGGAATGTATGTATGGCTTTTTGGGAAAGTAGACTGGAATAGGATTGGTCTGGAAGATGCTATAAATACCCAATTTATGTTCAAATGCTATATCCCTTCTTCCTTCAGATGTCATGGACTTCCCTCTTTATAGAAAAAAACCCACATTTTAAAGAAATCAGCCGAACTCAGTGTGAGAGGAAAAGAAAAAATGGGCTGTACCACCTGTCTGCATCCATGTGGCATCCAGAGACTGTGGAAATTGCTCTGGACATCCAAGTGCAGATATTTGAAATATATGCACAGAATTTTTGGACCAAATTGAAATGATTGGGGGATAAAATTCTGACAGTTGTTTGGTCAGATCTGTATAGCTTGATCCAATGCTCCATTGTCCCAAAACCAGTAAGATTTGTTGATATGAAGTGGTACGTTTTCGACTCTTATGAGTGAGTATGTTTTGTGCCTAGCAATGTAAAATCAAGCTCTCAAATGCCCAGCTAACTCGGTTTGACTGTAGCTGTCATGATGGTACCTGGAGTTTCGATAACTGCAAGTGAAAGTAAAACAGACAGCTGCATGCTCAGTTTTGAAAATTAATGGGTTAAGCTTAAGTGAATGCATTATGAAGATGCTTAGCAGTATCGCAGATGTAGCAAGTTGATATAATAAGTAATAGCATTTGGAAGCGCATGTGAAGAGTAATCAACATCAGAGAAGCTGCTGGTGTCGCAAAGCGAGACTTAAGTGAGAAGTGGGTTATCCCTCCAACAAGCCTGGGCAGCACTGACGATTTTGTGCAAGTGTTTTTCCTTGTGTGGATGCTAATAATAATAATGTCTTGATTTTCAGGTTCTCCAAACTTATCACCAAACCCCATGTCTCCAGCACACAATAATCTGGGTAAGCATGTGATATTGAGAACTGTGTTTAATTACAGTCAAGATAGTGACATTTTAATGATGATGTTAGTTCTTGAGGTTGTGCACTTTTGATGAGGTTGCGAGCACTGTTGATGTTCCTTTCCGCTAATCCTCTTTACTGTGATAAGTGGTTCATAGTAACTCTATATGAAATAAAGAAATCTGAACTTACATCAGAGTGTTAAATAAAAAAACAAAAAATGTTGGCAGACAAATACCAGAAAGAATGAGTGAAGGACTGCAGCAAAAATACACTTTTTTGATTACATGAGTTTGCAAGGAATATGTCTGTCTGTTTTGCTGGTGGTTTTGTGTTCTTATATTTTTAAAGGCCACAGATTGAGGTTAAATTTTGTCTCCTGGAAAATTACTTTGTAAATTTGTAGTGCTTACTGGTCTCTTTTACAATGTACCAGAGTGCCTTGCAATTTTTTAATGTTTATTAACTTGGTGTTACAGCCATTATAGGGCGAATGCTGCTATCCACATATTGTGGACAGGGGGCTGAGGTTCAGACCAACAGATTTGCCTGTACTGCTTCATCAGCTCAAGCAATCATCTGCTTGATTGAAGGGCAGCAAATGCATTACATCCTCACGTAAACCCAGCTCGGGAGCAAACTCACGTTCCCAGCAGAGCAAGTGTGCAGTTACACAGCACAGATAGGCACGGCCTTGAGGGTTTGGGTGGCAGTGGCTGGGGACTCCTAACAAAACCATGAGTGCTGGGATGGTGTCAGACCACAGGGTAAGTCTACCTGAGGGGCATCCCTAGACCACATAGGGATAAAACAGCCCAGAGCCCTCATGTCCCAATGCCCTAAACCACTCAAACAACTGATGGCCCAGGTGTGTAAGTTATTATAGGATGAAATTGAGCATGGTCTGAGCAGAGCAAACTGGAGGAGGCTAGTGGGTTGGCGTGCAGCTGGAAAGTCCAAATAAATGGAGAGAGGGCAGGAATGCTAGCGTATGGAGAGGTGCAGATGTCACGAACAACCTTACTTGAGCATCAGAGGTGTTTGTGGGGTCTTATGCTCAAATGAGCCTGGAGGAATGTTGTAGGTGAGATGCGCAAACCACAGATGCACTGTGGGATTTTTCTGACTGACCAACCAGTTGGTTTTCTTCAAGCAAACTCAAGTTACGCTGCAGTCTTGAGTTATCTTTCCCCCACATAACTCCATCCTAGGCACCAGGAAGATAGTCCAGCCCTAAGTGCTATACTAGACCACTGATGTCACCGATTCACTCCATAACCTGTAGACAGTAAATAGGAGGAAAGCTGAAGAAGAAGGAATAGCAGTTGAACAGGGCCTTTACCTTTGAGATACTATTAGAGGTTTTGTGGCTATCTCTGAACCTCTATTATCTTCTCAAATGTCTCTGCCCTTTATTTTCATACCTATAGACGTAAAAGGTCTGATCTTCATCAGTTTGAGCTCTTACCCTATTTGAAAATGCTCTCAACAGACTGTCATAAAAAGTACTCATGGCTCTGGCTAGCTGCAGGATCAGTTCTCTAAATGTTCATTAAGCCAGCAGACAGAGGCCACTTGAGATTACTCTTGAATAACCATAGCTGTAAAGTTTACATATGCTGTTAATCCTGGCGCAGGGTACTTTGACACTGCTCCAAAATTTGTTAGTCATTGGCTGACTTGTGGATATCTTGGGGCTGTTGAAGGGGGGATTTCTTTTCTCTTCTTTTTTTTTTTTTTTTTCATAAAAAACATTTAACATATTTTAACCATTCAGCACTCCCCTG